TTACTATATTAATTTAATATATTAATAAATTATTTTTAATTTATTTTAAGTCTCGTTCAATATATAATTAAAATATTAAATGCATTGATAAATTGTTTTAATTTACTTTATTTATTTAATGTTTTATTTAATATACTTTTTGAATTTATTTTTAATATATATATGAAAATTTATATAAATAAGTTTGATTTTTTCATTTTTTAAAAAATAATTTTAATTCAAATTTATCTTTTACAATCAAATTTTCTTTTTATACAAAATTTTATCAAAATACTATAAAAAAAGTCTTCTAATTAATCAGTTAATTTTTCAAATAATAAACTGATTTTTTACTTTTTATAATAAAAAACAATGCATTTACACAAAATTGTTTGAAAATAAACCAAATTTTTAAAGTGTAAATTAATCATAATATACTATCATAATATTAATTTTAGATAACTTTTCAAATTATAAAAGTAAATTTATAAGAAATATAAAAAATGATATGAAAAAATTCAGCTTCTATTCAAATTTTAATAATAACTAACAGCAAGTACTTAAGTTATAATTAAAGTTGAGATTCTTAATAATTCTAACAATTTAGAATTAGGCATATTATTTTTGATTTATTTTTATTTATTATTTTATAATTAATAATATATTTTCTTTATTTCTATATAGAGAATTAAAAGCTTAAAGAAAAACTTATTGAATTTAATAAGAGAATTAATCTTTTAAAAAAAAACTAATTTCCTGCTGAAATCAATAAGAAATTTAATAAGGAAATAAAGATTTACAAAAGTGATAAAAATTTATATATAAATATTCTAATATTTATAATAACTAATTTTCTTTTTATTAATATATACCCAATAAAAAATTTAATATAAAATTTCATAAAAAAAATTAAGTATTATAACATATAATTTTTAAGGAATTTCAGTATAATGTATATGTTTTTTGCTTAAGTAAAAACCTTAAACTTAATATGAAAAAGTGGAAAAAAACATATACAAAAAATAAGAAAAAAATATATACTTTATAATGATTTAACGTATATAAAAAATAAGAAAAAAATGTATATTTTATAATGATTTAACATATACAAAAAATAAGTATATTTTATAATTCTTTAACTGATGCAAAATCACATAATTTATATATGTAATTACTACTAAATTTATAATTTATTAATTTATTGATATAATTTTAAAATTACTTTAATTTAAATTTATTTATTTATTTATTAATAAAATATAAATAATGACAATAAAATACAAATATTTTATAATAATAAAAATACTATTTGGGTTGATTGCTAGGAAAATCAGGTTTCAGAAATTTTTTAACAAAATTGAGATTTTTATTGCATTTTAGTTTTTGATGTTATTAGATTAAAATGTATTAAGCTCTTAATTTAAGTGAAAAATTTCTCAGAATCTGATTTTCCTAGAAACCCTCCCATTTAACATAATATAAATATAAAATAGAAATACAATAAGTAATATTTAAAATAGTTAGTAATATATAAAGTAACAAAGTAATAATATTAGTAATAATATTTAAAAAAATATAAAAAAATAAAATAACATTAGTAATATTAGCGTTAGTAATATTTAAATTGTTAAAAAAAAGAAAAATAGATATAATTAATAAATATAAAAGAAAAAAAATAAATATAGTTAGTAGACTTTTAGTAGTTAATAATATCAGAAAAATAATATTTTAAAAATAAATATACTTGATAAAAAGAAGAGAAAAGAAAGAAGAGAGATAAGAGAAAACGTAAAAATAAAAAATAAAAAAAAATAAAAAATAAAAATCAACAAATAAAAAAATAATATTTATATTAAATCTATTTTTAGACAATCAGATGTAATATAAACTGATCACATAATTAGAACATTTACAAGAATATTTACAAGAATGCGTAAATAAACAAAAAGTATAAAGCAAAAATTGTAACGGACAGATGAGAGAAGAAGAAATAAAAATCTTTTCTTGCAAACTTTTTATGAAATTCAAAATGAACTTTATTTTTAATAAAAGTTTTTAAATTTATCATTAATTATTATAATTAAAAAGCACATTTGAAAAAGAATAAAATTTTGCATAAAAAACTGTAATTTTAACATTTATTTATCATATTAATTACTATTCTATATAATCTTAAAAATATAATAAAATTAATAAAAAAAATTTTTTTAAATTTATTCAAAAATTAATTATAATAAAATAAAGTAATAACTTTTAAATACTTTTATTTTATACTTTTTTTTTTATAAATATAGTAATTTTGTAATATACATTTATATTGATACAGTATTTAATAAATTACACAAATAAATATTCAAAAAAAAACAAAAAAAAATTGATAATTAATATAGTTACAAAAAGATATTATTCAACAAATATTAAAAATATCAAGATAAAAATTTATATATGAGTAATATTGGATATATAAAACATTTTTACTTAATATGCAGTAAGCAATTTACTTTAACCAAAGTAATCAAATTAATTTGTGAAATTAAAACAGTGTGATTTATTAGTAAAGTTATAAAAAAAATTATTTCTACATGAATATTAATCTAATTGAGATAAAAAATTAGATATAAATAGTATTGAACCTGCTAAATAACTTTCACTTAAAGATGCAAGGTGATTGACTTTGATTAAAGTGCTCAAATTATCCTATGAATTTAAAAAAAAAAGGTCTGTATTATTAATAAAGTTACAAAAACACATATTACAATACGAATATTAATCTAATTAAGATTAAATTTTATATGCAAATAGTATCACATCTGCTAAATAATGTTTACTTATATATGAAAAGTGATTATCTTTAAACAAAGTACTCAAATTTCTTTATGAGTCATATAAGTGTGACTTATTTAATAAAGTTACAAAAATAATTATTTCTACACGAATATTAATCCAATTAAGATAAAAAAATTAGATATAAATAGTATTGAATCTGCTGAATAACTTTTATTTAGAGATAAAAGATGATTGACTTTGATTAAAATGCTCAAATTTCGTTATGAAACTCTGTATTAATGTTATAAAAAAAGATATTAAATAATATAAAAATTAAAATTTACAAAAATAAAAAAAGTATATTTAATAAAAGTTCTTATAAGTTTAAGTATTAAAAGTTTAAAAAAAATAAGAATTTTTTAAAAATTATGTTAAATAAAATAAAAGTATTTTTTTATTAAAAAAAAAATAAAAAAGAAAAAAATATATAACGGTTTAAAAAAAAATTGAAAATTAAATTAATAATAATATTAAAAAAAAGATTAAGAAAATTGATTATTAGTAATATTATTATGCAATAATAATTAATTATCAAATTAAATATTTAATAAAAAATATGCAAAAATTAATTCCTTATACAAAATAAGAAAATGTAATATAGAATTTCAAAAAACGTATATAAAACTTATTTAAAATAATGAAAAAATGTATACAAATTTTTTATAGGGTAAGACTTAATTGATTTTCTACAAAACAAAGAAAAATCAGAAAATCTTTGTTGAAATTAAAAGAAAAAAATCCAGTTTATAATATCAATAATAAATTAGAATCATTATAAAATAATTCTAAAATAATGATAATTTGAAAATAGAAAAGGATAATATAAAATAGGTTAGAATATATTTAATTTATGTTTAAATATTTTAAATTTTTAGCTAATTTTTTTTCTGTTTTTTATATTTAAGCTAAAATAAAAATAGTCTTGAAAACTATTAACATAAAGGATAATTTAGATTATGATGAATCTTTTAATAGTGTGAAAAATTAAAAAATATTATAATCTAATTCTAAAATTATAAAAATTCTTAACTTTGAATTATCAGTCTTCTGTTAACTAACTTACAAATTAACTAAAATCTTTGAATTTATATTTTTATAGGATTAATTGTATTAGTTAGAGTTTTTTAATATCAATGTAAAAAAAATTAAATGATAGATAATTTTACTAAATATAGGTAGCCGATACCTTATCAGAACACTACTAAAATATTTAAAGTTTATTACTCAATAAGTGCATAATTGTGTAATAGTGTCGATCAGGGGATAATTTCCCGATATATATATGGTTAATCAACAAATTAATATGGTTTTGAACCGGTTAAATTTCACAGATTCAAATTATTAATCGTTCCAGTAAATTAATTGATTTGATTCTCGCAAAAATCGAGGCGGCACAGCAAAGCGAAATTAACTGCGGAACAAATAATATTAAAAATTAAAAAGTAATAATTAGGTAATTATCGCTATAACTATTAATAAACTATTTCTCCTATTGTTATGCCAAGATGATATGGATACGATCCGCATGTACGCGGTCATAGTGCTTGACCCTTGCTTGATTCACGTGTCTATCAATCTTTACAATATTAGCAAGTTTGTTTTTCAATACTAAGATAACAAAAAAAAATAGGTATATTAATTTAATAATAAATGTTACACATGCGAAGTAAAAAGAAGGGAATAAAAAATTTGGTCGATCAAAAAAAAAGATTAATAATTGTTTTCTCAAACAATGTTAATGTATTTTCTAACTATTCTTCATTATAATACCAACTTTAATCGTTAAATGTTTCCCAACAATTATTAAAGAATTATCAAAAATATTTTGAATATTGTATTTTTTTTTTTTTTTTTTTCAATTTTTTTCATGCAATTACATTTGAGATGGTGATTGATAACTGATTATCACATTCTATACTGTGTTATGTAATCTGGATTTTCATACTTATTTTAAGGTTTGTAACCTTATTGTTTGTTCCGAAACTGTCAAAACTTTCCTTATATGACCTTTTGTATACGATTATAAGTAGTTTAATATTCTGTTAAACTGTGATTTTTTTTTTAAAAAAAAAAAAAAAAAAATTTGTTTAAATGATGCCCATTAAATTTACCCCACCGAAATTTCTCTCCTTTTTTTTTCACTTGCAAAAATTTTAAATAGGGAGTTTGGTGGTTATTGTTTAGTAAAAAGAAATATGCGTCAGTCCAATATCGATTCGAATTCTCAATTACATTCAGGTAAAAAATTTACTTGGGAAGAATTGGCCGATCATAATAAGGCTAATGATGCATATGTCGCTATTCGTGGTAATGTCTATGATATCACAAATTTTATAAAGAGGCATCCCGGTGGTGAAGATATTTTGTTATTTGCTGCTGGAAGAGATGCGACACAGGTATATATATTCAATAATCCAAGATCAACCATTTCCGATAAATTCTATCGCTGATAACTTTTATTTACAGGCATTTGAAACATACCATGAACTTGGAAAACCTGATCTAGTTCTTAAGTAGTATTATATTTTTTTGTCTGATTTATAGAATTTGTCCCGTGGAATTAAGAATTAATTAATTCTATATTTTTTAATAGAAAATATTTCATCGGAACTTTAATAAGTAATGAATTGCCCGTATTCTTAGAACCAACCGAATTCCATCGAACGCTCAAAAAGGTAAGTTTATAAATATAACAGCATCACTATATTTGGTTTAATATTATAACATACTTTACGCTTTTCTCATAGAGAGTTGAAGATTATTTCCAAATAAATCAAATCGATCCAAAGGTAAGGAAATCACTACGATTTAAAATTTTATTTATTTGGTTATTTTAAATTTAATTTCTTTTCATTTAGAATCGCATTACCATTTGGTTACGTTACGCTATGATTTTCCTATCACTTATTGGATCATATTATGCGCAGTTCTTTATCTCATATATTGTTGAACGAACATGGTTACAAATAATGTTTGCGATTTTGATGGGATTTGCATGTGCTCAAGTACGTATTCTAATATTGTTTACTCATGAAATTATATGGTATTGGAGTTTAATAAAATCATTTGGGCTTTAAAATAGGTTGGATTGAATCCTCTTCACGACGCTTCTCACTTTTCAGGTTTGTATCATATTTCGATGTAAATGTAGCTTACTTATATTTCACATCGAGATTTAATTGGTTGATTGATTAAATTAATTACCTTTTCACAGTTACAAATGATCCTTTCGTCTGGAAGATACTAGGCGCTACACATGATTTCCTGAATGGATCTTCACATCTTGTATGGACGTATCAGCATATTTTTGGTCATCATATATACACAAACATTGCGAATGCCGATCCAGATATTGTAACTGGTATGTTATTTGTAATATAGATAATAGCAAGGCATTTATTCCATAGTTATTTATTTTATATAATTCATCTTAGGTGAACCGGATTTTCGAAGAATTAAGCCAAATCAAAGGTGGTACTCTCGTTACATAAATCAACATACGTTCGTACCATTATTATATGGGTTGTTGGCCTTTAAATCTCGTATCCAAGATATCATTATCGTATATATTATTGGTTCTAATGATAAAATAAGGATAAACCCTCTTAATACATGGCATACGAGCGTATTTTGGGGTGGAAAGGCATTTTTCATTTTATTTCGAATTATAATTCCGTTGATTCTTATACCCGCATGGAAATCCGCTTTACTTTTCGTGATCACTGATTTGGTCACATCTTACTGGTTGGCTATTACATTTCAAGCCAACCATGTTGTAGAAGAAGTAGAATGGTATGTAATTCTGCGATCTTTTAAATTTAAAGATGTGTGATGATAAATAAACATTTCTTTTTTTTTTTTTTTTTTACTTATTTGTAGGCCACTTCCTGATGAAAAAGGATTAATCCAAACAGATTGGGCAGAAATGCAAATTGTCACCACACAAGATTATGCTCATGATTCATATTTCTGGACAACAATAGTTGGAGCATTGAATTATCAAGCAGTTCATCACATATTTCCTCAAGTATCTCAACATCGTTACGGTGAAATTGCTCCTATTGTCAAAGAAACATGTAAAGAATTTGGAATTCCATTTTATTACAAGGAAACATTTTGGGATGCGTTTAAATCTCATCTTGAGCATCTTCGTTTAATGGGTTTACCACCCCAATCAAAAGATGTTATTAAAGTGGAATAATAAACTCGAAATACACAAGCAACAATCTCTCTGTTCTAACATGTATATTATTATTATTTTTATAAAATGTTAATTATTTGTATTTTTATAAATATAAATATAACTTGTTATTTTAGACATCAATAAATTGAATGTGTAATTTAAAAAAATTATTTCTAAAGTTCATTATCAAGAAGCGTAGAAAAAATGTTTTTCCTGCTTTTTTTTGTTATTAAATTTATTCCAAGCTATTGCGAAGAGGAACTTCTGACACCTCCAGATAAAGATCTCCAAAAACTTCTTAGCGAAAACCCATTTCTCATATAACGATAAAGATGCATCCCAATTCCCCAACTAAATCCTTGAAAAAACGGAAGCAACAATTGATGATGAAAAATATTTAAAGCCATACTACCTAAACTAGAATTTTGTCTATGACGAAAATCCAGACCAGTATTTTGTTGATGTCTAAACAAAATTTCTGGAATGTGAGGTAAATGACTTCTATTACTATTACTGTTATTGATATCGTTACTGTCACTATAATTATTATTGTCATTAGTGTTATTATCCAATCTTTTAGCATGTAAAGAAGAGGAGAATTCAGGTAATGTCGGACTTGGTGGATCATCATCGGTCTCTATAGCTTTAGTTAAAATTGGAGTTAATTGAATTATCTCATTATCATAATCATCAATGAAATCCAAAGGGGCAAGAATTTGCTCACGAGTTTCACCTGGAGCTGGCTTAACAGGTATATCCCGTTCAATGGATTCATCGTTATTTGAAGGACTTGAAAACTCTCCCGTAGGTATTGATTCTATGCTAATGTTATCTTCGGAATTTTGTGAAGGTGATGAAGGTGTACGAATATCAGGTGGACTATCAAGCATCCTACTAGAATCATCTCGCATGTTTAGAGAGTTTTCTGACTCTGTATCATCACTTGTGTGAATTGAAGATACCATATTATCACTATCTCCATTATCTTCTGGATGTTGTACGAATAATAATTCATCATCATCTTGGTTATCTGATTCAATATGTTCCAAGTCTTCGTCGTCTTCAACATTAGTATTTTCCACATAAGAATCTTCAATTTGCGTGTTCGTTGATCCAGCTATGTTTTCATTTTCTAAATTTATTTGTTTAGAAATAATGTTAGAAGCACTATCATTACTGTCTTTTTGAAGAGCCGAGGGAATGGTTAAATTATAATCTTCCTCAGTTTCTTGAGGTTGAGTATCCATACTTTTTAAACTTTTTACGGCAAAAGTTTTCTTGGATCGTCCCCATATATAAATTTTCGCATTGTTACACAGAACTTGACACGTAATTTAGCTGTTACACGACATACTAACCCAAAAATTTAACCACAAAAAATATCATACTGAAAAGAAGGACGAGTGATAAGATCCTTTACTCCAATACAACTTAGATTATTAGAGATAAAATGGAAGCATACGAAATTGATATACCAGTCGTCGAAGACGACGATGCGATGTTGATCGACGAAGGTATGTTCAATGAGTGATCCTTTTTTTACCATATCAGATCTATCACTTTATTTTTGTTATAACCTAGTTACTTTAGTTGTCGTTCAATAATAGATAGAATTTTCACTGGTTAAATGTTTATTAGAATAACTTGTATTGAACGCGATTTCATATAATTTAGAGTTATAAACGACTCCTCCTATTTATTTAAACTTTAATTCATTCGCATCTGTACCTTTATTTATTTATTTATTTATTAGATTCTAGACCAGCTATCAAACGCAAGGGACGTGGTTTTCGAAGCGAATCAAAAGGTAATTTAAGTGAATTAAATATAATTTTAACACACAATAACTAACACAAATAACATAAACACATATATTAATAGAACCCAGAGATGGAGTAAGGTCTGGTGACAAGTATGAACAATTTGAATCTGCAGTCGATGAAGATGCTACTGTTGGACGCGCTCATAGATGTAAAGATTTATAAATACTATTTAATTTATGATCATAATTTTCTTCATTAAATCATTTTTCCCAAATTTATCATTAAAGCCGTCGAAGGATGGATTGTTTTAGTAGTGGGTCTTCATGAAGAAACCACGGAAGATGGAATTACAGATAAATTTGCAGATTATGGTGAAATAAAGAACTTACATCTAAATTTAGATCGAAGGACGGGTTTTGTTAAGGTTAGTTTATATTGGATTTCAATAAGGACTATAAATGTTTTATGTATTTATTATTTAACAATTTATTATATTGTAGGGATATGCTTTAGTTGAATATGAAACATTTAAAGAAGCCAAAACTGCAATTGATGCTGTTAATGGAACAAAGCTTCTTGGATCTACATTACATTGTGATTTTGCTTTTATAAGAGCACCTATTGGAAATGGAGGCGGTGGTACATCTGAGAGAGAACCGAGAGATCGGGATCGGGACCGGGATCGGGACCGGGACCGAGATCGAGAGCGAGAGCGGGAACGAGCACCTAGAAATAGAGCGGGTGGTAGGCGACGCGGAAGATCTTCTAGTCCACACAGAAGATATTAAATTTACTCTTTCGGGAGGTATCTTAACGGAAAAGAAAAAATTACAATCATGACTATTTTATTGAAAGCAGGTAAATTTCAGTTTTTTTTTTTCCTTTTAGAAAAGTAATCAGAATTAATCGGTCATTATATATTTAGTCGTTTATTTATGTATTAAAAAATTGTTAACTTTCAAAATATAGCAAAAAAAGGGAAAAAAGAGAAAAAAAAAAAAAAAAAAGACAAAATACAAGATTATCAAACTTTATAAATTTGGGGGGTTTTTTTTTTATTTTTTTACTTTTGTATATTATACATAAGTTGTAATACATAGATATTTCATACATAAAGTTAACCACCCAGCTCCAAGTGTCCTTTAACAGCACTACCAACGTTAGTTAAGTCAATCAGAAAAGTATCATGACCATACATTGAATCCAATTCATAATAAGTGACGTCACCATTTCCACCCATTCTCAAACATTCAGCAATTTCCTTTTGTTGCCAACTAGGGAACAAGATATCGGATTGTACACCTAATATTAATGAAGGCTGTTGTATCGCCGATAAACCCTGTACCAAATCTTCCAAATCATCACTATTGATCACTGAAGCCATTGATGAAATATGTTTTTTTTCTTCGATTTTCGATTTCGTAGATGTGTGATATTGTTGTGTTGACATATTGGCCGTTATGTAACATGTGTCATTATGTGATTCTGTAATGTACTCTTGTTGATGTAATAATTTTTTTGAATTTTCCGAACGAAGGTTTTTGAACTTTTCTAATACAGAAGCTGACATGTCGAATAAATCCATTGCTTTTGAAATATAAAGTAATGAATTTGGATCATATTGTAAACAAAATCTTTCCCCTTGATGATCTAAATAAGTTTCTATAAGGAAATCAGGACATAAAGCTGGAGTTTGTTCTTCTCGTTGTCGCTTTCTTCCAAATCGTTGTTCCCATTCCGGTCCAGATCGATAGCTGATGGTGGCGATCTCACGTGCCAATTTCATTCCAATGTGTGGTGGTATTGAATTATAATAGAAACCTTTATTCCAATTTGGATCCGCCATTAAAACTTGTCGTTGTGTATGCCTTAAAGCGATAGAATATGGATGTGATCGAGCACATGAAGAAATGCAGATCAAACGTGATACACGATCGGGGTATAACCTAGCGGAAGCCAAAGATTGCATTCCTCCCATGCTTGCACCAACACTTGCATGTAATTTATCGATACCTAAATGATCTAATAATAAAAATTGAGATCGAACCATATCAAAAATTGACAAAATAGGAAATCTCGTCGCATATTTTTCACCATCAGATGGATCAATGGATGATGGACCCGTTGATCCATAACATCCACCAATCACATTTGTACATATGACGAAAAATTTATTGGTGTCGATCGAACGTCCAGGACCGATAAATTGTTCCCACCAACCAGGGTGAACATTTTTTTCATGACTTTTAGCATGACTGCTTCCGGATAATCCAGTTTGAATTAAAATCGCGTTATCTTTCTTTTCATTTAATTCACCCCATGTTTCATATGCGATATCAAGTTTAGGTAAAACACCACCATAATCACACAAGAAAGGTTCATTATGATGAAAGAGGGAATATCCGGAAACAACCTTTTCATAAGCCGGTTCAGGTCCTCCATCTAACGATCTGGTACGAGTTGTTAATTGATCTATACATGGAAAACTCATGGGAGGATTTGAGCTTTTCTTTTTTCTTTGGAGTAAATTTGGTAAATTTTTCTGTTGTTCCAGTGAAGGTGGATATTCAAAGGAATTTTGTGGTAAAGTCGTCGTGCTTGCATTATTACCCTTGACGGAAGTATGAAAACCTATTATAATTAAATGGTATTATATATATATATATTTTTTCGTTCGTTGACAAAGATAATAAAGAAATTTCAAGATAAAACATTTTTTAAATACCTGTTACTTTTGTGAATTGTGTGATTAAAGATTTTTGAGTCAACAAATTTGTTATTCGATGGTGATTTATTGCATTGATAGATTTCGAATGATGGAAAATGTTACGAAATAGCATAGCCATGATTTCAAATTGTATTTATTATCCCATTTTTTATTTTTTATTTTTCCTTAATATTTATATCTTTTCTCACATGAATTATTAATAATCCAGACCTGCTTAGTATGGTAATAATATGTAAATGATTACTTATCAATTTTATCAATTGTGGAAAATCCTGGCAAGCACGCAATGGAATCGATAAATGGTATCAATTTTATAACCGGCATTATGAATGAAAGGATTTTCCTGTGTAGCTTAGTTTTTAAATGAGAAATCCCATAATTTAATCATTTCTAATAAAAGGTCAAGTCTCACACTTTATTATTTCCATATCGACTGTACTTTACAGGATCTGTATATAGTCAGTCAACCCGTCTTTGTTTTCCAACTTAGACACAACGTTTAGGCTGGATGATGAATCATAGTGCTCTGCCCGTAAAGGGATGTGTGGTTTATCAAATTTTTCTTGATTTCTTCTTCGGAGGTTTTCTAGGGGATAATTTGATTTCCAGTTGATGAACTTGCCTATAGCTATTCCAAGTTATATGGCGAGGGCGGAAGCACAGTCTGACAGTCCAAAAAAAAAAAAATTTTATAATTACTAGCGGTTTTGGGAATTTGGAAAAAAAAGTTTATATTTTTATATAGCATTTATTAATTATTTAAAAAAATGTTAAATTTTTGTCAATATATGAATTCTTTTAAATAAAACAAAAAAAAAAATTTTTTTTTTCTTCGCAATTTTTTTTCGTAAAATTTTGTACCTCTTTTTTTTTCCGAGATGGTTTTTTTTTTTGAAAAAAAAAAAAAAAAAAACGGAAATTAATCTGGTTATAGATAAAAATGTTTAAGATCTCCATTATTTCTTTGCTTATAAATCAATCCTATGTAAATTCTCTTCGAATCCTGTGACAATACCGTCAAAGTCGAGAAATTCTACAAAAAAAAAAACTTCCTCGAATAATAATAATAATAAACACTCTTGCTCGCGATCTAGAATTTCACAGGTACAAATGAACAACGGTAAACAAAATGAACGACCCAAACTTCATGACAGGTTCGCCGAATGTATTGCCTAATTGTTCAAAGTCCTCGTTATTCGAGTTTACTTCATCTTATATGAACAAGGATATGATTTCACAAGGCAATATTCCAAATTGGAATGTTAAAAATCACTTTGTACCTGATATAATGACTACACAATCATCATCACCTTCGTTTTCGGATAAGCTAGCTCCAATCATCACCACTTCAAACCTTTCATCATCATCAACGAATGGAACATCAGGAAGAAGATCGATTCGATCAAATCCAATTATATCATCTCCTTTGGCCATTGGTCCTTCGATTTCACATACATTGAAGCCAGCAATAAGTCCAAACCTTAAACCTAGATTACCTGGTGTTTCACCAGATGAAGTTGCTGAACAATTGGCCAATAAATCAAATTATCATAGTATTATGGAGGGGACAGCTGAGTAAGGATATCGTTGATGATGAAGAACTTTCGATTTAGATGATGATAAATTTAACATATTATTTTTTTTTTTTTTCTCCTAAAGGTCTCTAGGTATTTTATATCCATCGGGCGTGAATTCGATTTTAACTCGACGTTTAACATGTAGGGTAGCTGAACAAAAGCGTAGGGATTCGTTGAAACAAAGTTTTGATGAATTGAAAAAAATTTTACCTATGCCGAGTTACGATGATGGTAAAAATCCCGATGATGTCACATCCATAAAAAATGTTAGCAAATTGTTTTTATTAAAGAGAGGTAAGTTAAAAGGTTTTATTAAATTATTCATCATCTTACCATCTATTTATTATATTAATGAAATTATATTTATATTATAGCACATGAGCATATTATGGAACTTCAAAAACAGACAAAAGAAAGTGAAGAACTTATTAAAAAGTTGAGAGATGAAATTTGTGAGCTAAAAGGAACAAAAAAACTAAAGAGTTGATTATAGCGACGCGATTCCTTTAACGTTTTAACAAATTTCAGCGACTTTACCAAATATAATTATTTATATGTTGCGAAATGGGATTTAAATAATAATAAATTATCTCTAGAGAGAGAAGGTAATACTAGCAAGAATACCCAAAACTGTCTTTTTAAAACTTTCAATCCTAAATTGTTAAATATGGAATATTTACATTGTAGGATATAATTTTCAAAGTTTGAATAAATTTTTTAATGATTTTATTATGCATTTGGCTAACAAAATTTTCTAATTTTTACTTCACGATATAAAATCTCACCAACATTAAATTCAATATACAATTTTTTTTTTTTTTTTTGTTTCATCATAACAAGCTTACAGCCTCTCAATATCTTAATTTATTAATGAATTAATTAACCTTTTAACTAATTAAATAATATTTTTATTCATCATCATCATTTTCTTGAGCGCGCTTGAAAGCTTCGATCTTTTGTTCAACTTTGTTTCTTCTCTGTTTCAAATTCAATCGATATTTCTTGTACTGAGGGGAGAGAGAAAAATTAGCGTTATAAAATTAATTATAAAATTAATCATAAAATTTGATCTTTTCATTAAGAATGATTAAAGTTCGAATTTTACCTTCTTGAAAATTTTGTAATCACCCTTCTTATCTTTGGGTTTATATTTAGGATCTGCACGAATCTTTGCGTGAGTACATTTATAAAGTTCTTCAAGGCCATCTGCATTGATACCAGCTTCAATAAACTTGGAAAATTGTCGCCTATATTTATCATCATCTTCCTCCTGTAGAAGTCGCATATAATCGGCCACATGACCCCCGTAAATATATTTACGGAGGGTTTCAGCATCAAGTGATTTTGATTCAGCATCGTAGCCAGGGAAGCGATTTTCGGAATGAGGAATGAAAATACCACCATCACTTGCACCTTTAAGAGCTGCAAACACTTTAGAGCCTGTAGATGTACGTTTTAAACCTACATCCAAGAAAGCTTTAAAAGGACGTGGAGCATCTTCGAGTTCTTCAATGGGTGCCACTTTACCATCTGGTTCCGTGACACCTTGATACTGGTCAGCCAATCCAAGTTTAGTGAGAACTCTTCGAGCTGCAAGTAAACCTGTGGCGTACGCTAAAAAACATTAAAAATGTATAATCTTATAAGTATGTGAGTTGTTAGCAAGGATGAAAAGACAATTGATGGTCCTATTACTTTTACTTACTTGCGGCCCAATTTGTCAAACCAACTTTAATACCAAATCTTGGTAACTCATGTGCATAAGCTGCCGTTAAGACAAAATCTCCCTCAAGTTTTGCATAAATTATTTGAATAATAACGTCCGTATTGGTGAAACGAACTACCAGTCGATATTTCGGAGAATTATATTTATTCTTAGCTTGTACGACAAGTCTTTTACGAGCATAATAATCGGTCTTGCCCTCTGTGATTACCAAAAAAAAAATTAATTTTAAAAAAAAAGAAGTCAATAAGGTATAATAAATTAAGAAAAGTTGTTTGATAGTGAAGTAAAAAAAAAACAATTTTTTTTTTTTGATCGGATTTGTGGTCAGATAGGAGCGAAAGATTCATTGATCAACAAATAAAAAAAAAAGATTCAGATGAACTATGTAATCATCATTTTAAAAATTAAATCAAAAAAAAAAAAATTTGTTAGATTACACGTAAAAGCATTCACATTTGTAATTAAACCTACCGCGTCTTCTACGATATTTGACTTGATACCGCTTGAAGTAAGCTATTATTATTTAAAAAAATAATTTAAAATAATTGAATTATTGATTGATAGAAGAGAAATCAAAAGAAATATCTGAATCGATTGTTACCCTTGTTCTTTACCGCCTTAACGAATGGCTATTAAAGGAATTGAATCATTAATACATTTGAAAATATGATAACAGTCATGCTTCGATCTAATTCAATTAATTGATCATTCGAATTTCATTATAAAAGAATTGTTTCTGAAGGATAAAGATTAAATTATGATGGATGATAAATTTTACAAAGATCCAAAATTTCTATATCTCGACAATTTTTTTTTAATTCTTTAAAATCTATTTCATTACCCTTCATTTCTCCTTTATCATTATCGATAATTATTAATGATTTCACTTGTCTATAAATGTGATTATAAAAGCTTACCATGTTGGCGAGTCAATAGACCTTATCGAAAGAGGAGGAAAAAAAAAATAAAAATGGAATTTAGTATTTATGTCACATGTTTGAGCCTTTGGGTATTCTTTGATTGGGTCAGATCAAATGGTTCAAAAAAATCTTCATTCACGTGATTCACAAAAATTTTTTTTTTTTAAATCGATAATATCGATCGAAAGAATATTTAAAGGTACGAAAAAAAAAAAAAAAAAAAAAAAAAAAATTCTGATGCTTTGCTTTGACTCGTTAACGTTAACGGAAAGAAAATCGATGACAATGATGACAAAACGGCGACTAATTTCGAAATGCTGCATCATCATGTCAAATCATAATGAGCGGCCAGATGACATTGCATACATTTTTTTTTATTATTAGTAAAAAAGAATGAATTTAAAAATAGGGTTAATTTTCTCAATTATCTCGATAAATTTGTCGATAATCAAATATATCAAATATAGAGAATTGTACAACTAACAAATACTAACTTTACCATTCATGTGATCATTTGAATTAAAAATGGAAATTTCATTTGGATTCAAAATGTCATTATTGAATTCATCATGAAGTACAGTATATTGAATCGTCCAAAATTTTGACTTATAAAGGAAATTTTTTTGCCCATGCTCCATGCTCCTTTGGTTATAAAACGTACTTAACGATCAACATCACGTCTTGTGTATCATAAGTAAAGTTTTTGACGGCTATTTTTTTTTTCTTCTCAACGAAATATCGTGACCTTTATAAAATATTTCCTTGCCTATAGAAAATTTTGAAACGTCTAAAAAGACGTATTATCAACAAATACTTTTAAACACGTGTAGGTTTTGTATCAAAAAAGAAGGGAAAGGAAAAAAGAAAAAAAAAAAAAAAAAAAAAAAAAAAAAAAAGGACATTCTAGGTTTTCTTAATACCATGGAGAAGTTGCTTTTAAACCAGCAGAATAAACCGCGGTTACTGGAAATTATACAACACATCAAAAATGCAAAGAACGTCGTTGTAATCGCAGGAGCTGGAATAAGTGTGTCAGGTGGCATACCTGTAAGTAAATTTAATTCAGCTTACCAAGCTGTTTAGGGGCCTTGGAAAGGAATAACGCGCTTTTTTTAAAGTAAAACTTAAAAATTAAATTTGCCTTCCTTTAATATATGAAAAGTATAAGTTTGAATTACAGATATTATTTTAATTCAATTATGTATTTAGGATTTTCGTTCCCCTGATGGTCTGTTCGCAGAGATAATGAAACAATATCCTGGAGTTTTCTCCTCGGGTCGCGATTTATTTGATGGGTCTAGAATTTTTTCTTCATCAAGATCAATAACGACGTTTTATAAATTTATGGCTTTGTTAAAACAACAAGTTATTAATGCGAGAGTAACCGCCACCCATCGACATTTCGCAAAGCTCAATAATATGAATAAGCTTTTGCGAGTATATTCGCAAAATGTAGATAACTTGGAGGAGCGTGCTGGTCTCCCCGTAAATGATTGCCATAATACACGGTCTTCCGAACGTATTATCAAATTACATGGTGAAATCGACAATGTATGGTGTAATATATGTCATAAAACATTCCCATTTTCATCCGATGTTATTAATGCATTTAAAGACGGCAGTCCTCCAGAATGTCAATATTGTATGGAACAAGGTAAATTTCTATGTCACTAACACTAAAGAATTTTTTTTTTTCTTTTTTAGTTATAAAGAATAGTTGGTTTAACTAATTTTTTTTTTTTTGTGTGTAATAGCGGAAAAGGCAAGAATATCTGGCAAAAGAATTCGAAAGACCAGAATTGCAATGCTTCCCAGACCCAATATATTACTATACAATGATTTTGAAAGGACAGTCGGAGAAGAAATTGGTCGGATCGCTTACCACGACCAACGTAAGGCTGACTGTCTATTGATTATGGGAACTTCGCTCAAGGTCTCCGGATGTAAGAGTTTGGTCAAGGATTTTTCTAAAGCGGTTCACAGCAGAGGTGGAAAAGTAATATTCATTAATACAACTGAAGTGACTTCAAATAATTGGAAAGATGTGATAGACGTTCATATTCAAGGGGCGTCTGATGAATGGGCCGAGCTCGTTGAGGCTGAGCTCGAAAAGAAAGAGGCAAAAGGTAAGAGGAGAAAGAGAGTGTGCGAAGAAAATAACGAAGAGCAACCGAAGAGCGTAGGAAGAAAACGACAAAAGCCAGTTGATAAAGAAGATAAAGTTGCAAGGGTCAGACAGGGACAACCAACCCTCCAATTGAAATTAGGGAAACGAAGCAGGACTCAAGGTAAAAGTTCATTTAAGTTCTATTTTCATGAGAATATATCACAGTTGGAATTGTTTTCTTAAAAGAAAAAAATTTTTTTTTTTTTTTTAGAAAATAAAATGAAGAGACCCAGAGTCCGTGAAGGGGAAGGTGAAGACAAGGAACTGACGAACTCGAAGGGAAAAAAACGATGTAAACCCGCTGATGATGATGATAAAGGTGCGGGAGTAGGCAAGGTAGGCAAGGGGAACCAACCTCGGCAACTGAAGCTGGGAAGGCGCGGCAGTAAGGCATCGGGTAAGATTTAATTAATCTTTAATATAATGGGCAAAATAAAAAGAAATTCTGATTTTCGGGATTTTTATTATTATTTATTAGAGAACAAACGAAAAGGCCTAGGTGTGGTATTGAAAAACCATTAAACGCATTGTCAGTTTCAGTTACGTTTTGTATTTTTGTAGGGACATTCTTGTGGAGACATAATTTATAATGTCGCTATTATATAATGTTTGAACAATCAATATTGATAGAGCTAATTTTTATATAATTTTTGAGGAAATCAAAAGTAATAGCATTGTAATATTAATAATATAATGTCTCTTAAGATAAATGATATAAATTAAGGACATTATATTTATACCAGAACAATTTCATGTTGCATAAATAGAAAGTAGAATAAAATTAATGTGTAAATAGTTTGTTGTGGTGGTTCTGGAAACCGACACACCAAAAGTAGAAAATAGAATGCTATAAATAAAGCTTTTAAAAATTAGAGATTCAAAGAACAATAATAATTTTTTTTTATTTATTTATTTCGTGTTTTCATATATGATCATAGGAAATTGTATTTTAAATTTAGATCATCACAAATATCGCAAATGCAACCTGAAAATCCACCGGATTTTATCCGGCTTATAAGCAGAATCCCGATAGGTCGCAAGTATAGCTGCGGGTATGGTAACACTTTAATAACAGACGTCCATTTCTGGTTACTGACTTGGAGCTAGACAATAATATAAATATACCTTGTGATGAACATTCAGCAAATCACAAGAGCAACTGATTGTTGACGCCCTTTCCCATCTACCACTCATTCTCGTTTGACCTCTCCACTTCTTATTGGACTAGAAACCACCAATACCAATACAAGCAGGTAAATTAAAGCTGTTCACTAACTAGGAAACTTCAACTTTACATTTTTCGTTGAACTTTTGTTCAGTCGGAGCTTACAATAGCGTTCTAGCAAAGCTCATAATTTGTTTTTAACTTTTTTGAATTTTTTCAAACTTTTGAACTTAATAATATGACAGAACAATTTCATCATACTTTCCAAAACTCCTTTTTGTGTACGGACATTTTCTTTTCAAATCGCAGTTTGTTCTGATATATAATGGATATCAAAGATCAAGACCATAATAACGAAAGAGTTTCGGTTGAAGCTCAATCTAATGGTCAGGCACAAGAACCTGACCAGCAACAGCAAGACCAGCAACACAGATATGATATGACGGCGTATACAAGCTTGGCTACTCCTAACCAAACTGTAGTAGTCGATCCGGTAAACTTTAATATTTTATTCCATTAAACAAATCCCAATAAAATATATTCTTACCAATTTTTCTTTTTGTTTTTTTTTCTTTGTCTTTTTTTTTGTTTTTACATCTTACTCAGGCTCTTCAATCTGATCATACGAAATCATCTGGTTCTTATGGTGTTAATTATCAACCGTATGGCTTGGTAAATAAATTCATTTCAAATTTCTTTATAGATTTTTGATGATAAAATTTAAAGAATTCAGAATTATTAATTATTGTTTTTTGTTCGATATATTAGATCATGAGTCCAAGCCCTTATGTTCTTGGAACTTCCAGCACCCCCCCTGCAGCAACACCAGGAATGGATGAACAGGAAGAACCTCTTTATGTGAATGCTAAACAGGTATTTTTTTATTACCAAATAATTATGATTTTAATCGTTTCAATTTGATTAAAAATTTTATCAACAAATAGTATCACAGAATTTTGAAACGTCGAGCTGCTAGAGCAAAACTTGAGGCTGAAAATAAGATACATAGAGGAAGAAAGGTTTGCTTAAACTTTTACGTAGCTATAAATGAAATCAAAATATTAACTACTTATGATTTATTGGTGTGACAGAAATACCTTCATGAATCTCGTCATAAGCACGCCATGCGACGACCTCGTGGACCAGGTGGTCGCTTTCTTACCGCTGCTGAAATTGCTGAACTAGACCGGAAGAAGGAAGAATCATCTCCTCAACCACAAGTTTCTCAGCAAAATGGTTCTGGATCGGATACCCTGAATCTAATAGTAGAGAATGGCATCAGCAAGAAATCCGCAAATGATAAATAAATGTCTAAATATTTTTTTCTTTTATAATGAAAAAAAAAGATAACCCATTTTAACTATTTAGACAGATTTCATTCCTTTTTCTCTCTCTCTCTCTCTATATATATATTTTTTATTTTTTATTTTATTTTTATTTTTATTCTTTTTTGGAATGGGGTGGGAGTTTCACACATTTTTTTTGATCTATTAATACAATTTCATCACACATAGACTTTTTCCTAAATATTAGTGATTTGTTACTTTATAATTTGAAGTTTTTTTTTTTTTTTAAAAAAAAAAAAAATGTCGTGAACTGATAGTAATTGAATTATTTTCAGTTCTTGTTTTTTATGAATTAATAAATAAATCTGATTTTTTACATCGTTTCGTTATAAAATAATAGATAAATTTTTCTCTATCAAAAGTTTTGAAAGATTTAATAACATTACATTTCAAAATTTTAACAAAGGTGGTCTTAATATTTTTTTGTTTGCTTGATATTTATTACTACTACGAAATTGATTTATTGATACATTTTAGTATGTTCTATATAAAAAAAAATAATAAAAGAGTATTTTACATTGATATTGTTTAGCGTTTTTTCTTCCTAGTTAAATATAATCTTTTTTTTTTTTTTTTATACATTTTGCATATTGAACAAAATTTGATTTGAGGATGTATTTAAAATATTATTTGTGTCAAAATCATTTTCGATATTTTTACTACCTTCAACCATTCTGGGATTATACTTAAGATAGAAATTCAATCCCACGGCAAAAAAAAGTGCAAGACAAACCAATGGAGGCGCTATGATATCATCTAATAATAATAATAATAATAATAATACATTATCATCATTATTTCTCTCGAATTTTAATGTGAAGATTATTTTAAAAACTTACCATAAGGGCCTGGATGTCTGTTATTAATCATTGTGAGCCTCTGATTGTATTTTACTAAAGAATATATCAACACAACAATACTAATAATTGCATAAAAAAATCCACTTAAAGTTCCCACTTTGTCTTCAGTGCCACCGGCATTAAACAATGCCAAAGAAAATGAGCCTAGCAGCACACTAAATCTCATCCAGTGGAAAAAGGTTCTTTCATTGGCAAAGAAAACCTTGGGCTCTACACGCACAGGTGTGTTAATCTTATTTGGTATACGAATATTTGGTGGTAAAACAACTAATTCGGGAGCTGAACGTTTTTTTCGCCGAAACATTTGACGTAAAGCTTTTAGTCCAATAGGTCTTTGTTGTTCCTCGTCCTCGTCCTCCTCCTCCTCTTCTCCAAGTAAGGGTGAATTTTCATTACCCATCGTTTCTTCTTCAAGGTTATAGTCAACGGCTTTACCTTTGTTTTTCCTGCTTCTATTACTACTATCGCCTACAACCTCGACATTAATGACATTTTTTCCTGACATAGTTTTTTTCGGACGTACTGCTGTATATGCAGAAGAGGTAGATTGTTCAGGATAATCCTCTTCTTGAAATTGACGATTGTTTGGAGGTTTCAAAATATTTTTATCGATATTTGGTAGCTATATAAATAAAATCAAGTTAAAACCAACACAAACAGGGTAAAAGTACACAGAACTATACTTTAATACATACCCAATATGGTAGAGAAGGTGCATGAGAAGTGAATAATGTAGCAACTCCATGAACATATTTCGAAAATTGAGGAGCTTCTTCGACTAAATGACTGTTTATCAACTCTTTAACCCAAGCTGGTTCTTTTTCCTCTTCGTCTAACCTAAGTTTGACTTCTAATAAAGCATAAGGAAACTTGGCACATTCAGATGATGGTAATTTACCAAATTGATCATTGTCAATATCTGAACGACGCCATTCACCATCTTTACGACGGGGTACACCATCAAAATTATCCTCGCGAATCATATAAAAGTCGGTATCAAGTGAAATTCTAACACGATGATCACCAGGAATTTGGAACGCCATACGATTATAATAAGTACGAAGAATGGATCCCAATTTTTTTTCCTTGATAGTATCTTGGATATCTTTAATCAAGTTTTGAAAATGTTGAACATCATCTTCCGTTTTTGAAGGATCTTCCTTCATCTTCTTGACCATTTTATCCATGGAATAATCTCCTTTTAAGAATGCATCAACATACTTTTGTTTGATTAAAAACCTATCCTTAATTTCATCTTCCCCTTGTTCGCGTATTTTTCTTTCAACAAAAATATCATTATTCATTTTATTACCGTACCATCGTAACCTTATAGTTTGACCACCTGGCTTACGATCAACTTTATCTTGATAAAATTCAAATATTTCATTATCAAAATAAATTGATGTGACCGACGAATCAGTACCAGGTTTATAAATTAAAACAGGAAGGTGACGAAGGATTGTAGTTTTAACTTCCATAATATTATCTTGGTGCACCCAATAATTATAAGATTGACGCAAGACTTTCTCTTGGGATGGCATGACTGTGGAAGGATTCCATGATGACGCTGGTAAAGATGAGAAATTTTGGGTAGAAAGAAGTTCACCAGTAGGTTGATCAGCTCCTAATCCTTGATGAACAGTATGATAGAGCTTAGAAAGCCGAACGATGATTGGTTCATAGGTTTCTTTATAGAATGGACAGTCGTTCAAACGAACGCTAAACATGGGACGCAGAATATAATTTGTACGTCTAGAAATAAAATAAAAGATCAGTAGATTCATAAGTGAAACAATTCAACTTTAAAAAAAAAAAATGTTTTGTTACCTGTCATGTTTCTTTACAATTTTTATAATTCCAGTATAATTTAAACGAGCATATTTGGCAAGCTCATTTAATTCTTCAGTAATATCATTAATTCCTCGTTCAACTTCGGCATATCTATTAGGTACGTTCATAGAAGAGACGTTATTTATACTTGCAACAGCATTTTCACAAGCCTGGACGCGTACTTTAATTTCTTCATATTTGGAGTTTTGAAAAGCATAAATCTAATCGAATAGTATAAAAGGGTAAAATGAAAGAATAATTAAGGTGACAAATATATATATAATAATTCGATTAATACATGTAATAATTACCTTTTCTAGTTCTTTATCTAACCGTTCAACAAAGTCACTTTCATCTTTTTCAGTAATACCTCCTTCTTTTTTTTCTCCACGTTTAAGGTGTTTTTTTAAACCGTCATAATCAAGATAAAACTCGTTCCATTCACCGTACAAAGCTTCTCTAAGCTGGCTACCAAATTTCATGTTTTACAATCGATTCTTACGGTCGAATTAAAATTAATTTTTTTAAAAAAAAACAAAAAAAAGGAAAAGTATTATTTAAACAATTTCCTTCCGTTAGAGAGAAACTGATCGATGAACTTTTTATGACATGTGTAAAAAGAATCCAAACCGAAAAAAAAAAAAAAAACGCCGAATTTTAAATTGGAATTTTAAATTATACAAATATATTAAACGCCTCATTGATGAGATCATAAATTGTGAAACTCTGGATTAACTTTAAATTTCACAAATTTTTAATTAGGAGATTGCTTATCTAACCTATCATGGATTTAGTTTCACTAAATTTTTGACAAATTTTAAATTATTACAATTTAATGTTATTAGTGGTAAATTCTTTTCATTAATTTATTTCGCTTCTCTAGCATTTCTGATTCGCTATGTGAAAAATCATTAATAAAGTTTCACCAACTTTGAGTATTATCTATGACTGTACAAACAATAAATTCAAGTTCGCGACAAGAAAGTAAAGTAGTCGGAATCACTAACTTTTCTTTGATTTTTTGTAGAGGGACAGTGGCGGTTGGCGTCTCAGTCACGGTATAGGTATACTGGAAAACGTCATACAGAGTAAGGCCTTAAGCACGCATGCCATAGGAAATTCCTGAAGAATGCTTTCAAACATTTGACATTGGAAGTAATGCCAGTAGGTGTACACAACGCAACCTGGACACTAGCATACAGGGTAAGACCTTGAACACGCATGCCCAAGGAAATTTCTGAAGACTAGTGCCAAGCGTCTAAACGCAGGAAGCAAATGACCAGGGATGCACGTGAAAGAGTTTGACTTTCCACTCAATCAAGGTATCGCTAAGCCACATAAATGCTTTACACGTAGTCGCGTATTAGACATGTAAGAACTTCGTTTTTGATGTTTGAATCACTGAACAAGTACTTTGATCAAACCTTATATAAGTAATGGTCGATTATTAATGCCTTCCATACATAGAACCAAAAGCCGAATTATCTTAAAGATACATCAATAATACCCTCAATACGCTATTTTATATACTTTAGTTCTTATTAATAAATGAATATTATAGCGATAAAATTTATCTTTTTTCGTTTATTTTAATTTATTTCTATCCTTAAACAATGTTACATAGTTGTAAAACTGTGTAGAAAAAAAGCAAAAGCAAGAATTTCTATCGCTTGCCAACCATCGCCAAACACAACTATTTTAAAATGTTTAGAACAATGTCTAATATTCCCAGCAGAATTGTACTCTAAAATTAAATTATGTAATTCACAAACAAGCATTTAAAGTACATATAGTTCAGTTCCCGGTACATCGTACGGGAAAAAAATCTAATTTTTGCCTTTTAGCATCTGGGATTTGACGATAAAACTCTTCTTCGTTAATAAATGTCCGCTTGCTAAAAACGTCACGGATTTTAGCCCTCAAGACAATTTAATAACCTATTTTTATCCCAGAAATTGGGATTAATATTTTTAGTAAAGGCAAACATGGCTCGTGATGAAAAAACGGGGCCAAATTGTTTATCAAAACCATCTTTTGAAATAATTAGAAAAATTGATTTTTGTTCTGATTCGTTATATGGTTGTGTAGTAAAAATGATTTTCATGGGTTCATAATTTTCATGGAAGATCAGGTGTACCATAAAAGCCGTTATTATTTTTGGCTTCTTCATTATCAACATCATCCTCGGTCATCGTTTTGAAGCGTAGTCCCATTTGCTTTGGTCCATTGTGAAGAAACTGGTATCATCGGTTTCTCTAACAAAGAATATATCTGCTAATTCAGCAGATTTACCATTAAGAACTACGACGTCCCCACTTTTCCAGTCAATTTGTTCATTACGTTTGGTTGTCAACTTCATATTTGCTGGAAATTGCTTGTTCGCCTCACAAACACGGAGCGATTTCAATTTCACAACAAAATTCAAGTCAGAATCCATCCCACAGGCACCAGGATATAGTTCCCGGAAAGAAAGCTTTTCATATCCCATTCTAATTGCTAGATTCGTACGAAATGCTTCATGATGTGCTACAAACACTTCCCATTCTTGCCAATACATGGAAGAATCATCTTGAAAGACCTTCTTCGTAAGATCCGAATCAACAATTCGCAAGATATCGTTATAGATGCTGATAAAAAAGAATGGCATTTTGATCAAGTACAAATTGCGGTTTTCGGCGCGGGTGAGAACAATATGTCTGTCACGTTCCAGACTTCTGATCATGAGATCCGGCTTTTTATCAACTAGACAAGTATCAAGGGTAACATGAATCCCTTCAATACAATAATACATGTTTAACGACAATTTCATAATTATCTTTATCCGTAATAAAATGTTCTATTTTATACTGTTCATTAAGATACCATTTAACTTTTTCGAAAATATAGTTATAGTCATGTTTAGTAAGTTCCTCAAAATACACGTCCATCTTTACCATATTCCCCAAAGATGATGATAAAGAGTCGCTGAAGTGCACGAGGCAATCCTCCAGTGTCCATTAGAAGTTGAAATATTGGATAACAGCTCTTCCACTCATACGCGCGATTTTGAACTTTAGCTTTAACCTCCTTGCAAAATGATCCATGATACGAATCATAGATGCAATGTTCAATAATGGACAATTAACAAATCCAAATGAGACATTTGAAGGTTCTGTTTATTCAACGACAGCATGTGGCGCTGTTCCTGAAAGGAACGGCTGGACAAAAATAGTTAAGGAAGGGCCAATCATGTAATTCGAAAGATAGTGGATCGTCTTATAGAAGACATTTTTTGGCGGATTTGTTACATCTTGCTTATCCCAGGAATCAATTGTCTGAAATTCATCAATATGAATATATAGAAAGAGTTGTTGTTAATTAGAGATCTTCAAGAATTCATGACAATAAATTATGACAGTATCAACGTGAAAAAGTTTAATAATTTTGTCCCCAAAACCTATAACTTTAAGAAGGAATGCTCGAAAGTTTATTACATATTTTTTTTCAATAAAAAACGCGTATGCAATGCGCAAGCCAATAATCACTCCTGCATCTAGTTTGTAACCATAGTCGTCAAGGCTGTAGCCATTTCCGAAATCTATATAGATATATTCGAAATGTATATTAGTCCATCTTTGAAAAACTCTCATTTTTGTGATCTCATCAGACAAATCGCGATAAAGGTCTTGGAAATACTGTGGCAAATTTTCTTTGACGCAATTAAAAAGTTCCCAGCCAAACCGAGTTTTGCCTATTCCCAAAATTTCAGATACAGGTGAGCGATTGATACAGATCATTTAAAAAAGTGCTAGGAAACAAAACCTATCCCGTGGGCTCCTCCACTGACGAGGCACCAGTAATTTGATTTGCCTTCCAGGCCCACCATATTACTATATATTGTTTTTCATTGTACTATTGAAGTCACGCTGTTGTAATGGCATGTCTAATTCGTTATACGGTTTAGGATCACGCTCTATCAAATCTTTTGTAATATTATCAATAATGTCTCTGACTGAAGGAGTGGTAATATTTACATTAAAATTGGATATTTGTATTAATTTACATAATAACAATTGTGTGTGCACTTACGGGTTTTTGGAGGTGATCCTTTAAAAAAATCATGACAGATAAATGAGATATAATCAATATAATCTATTTCCTTGTTCGGGAGGTAAAAAATTGGGAGACACTTACCAGTTGTGACGTACGATGGGGTTGTACGATGATGTTTATGATACGTTTAGTGGGATTTTCTTCCGAAAGATGTTCTGGTTCGTTAAAATATGTACCAGCTTTTTCAAAGGGGTCTAACTCTTCGCCTCCAAGCTCTTTTTCAACATCACTAGCATGTACTTTAATTTCCAATTTCATATTGTTGGTGGGTATTGTTACCTCCATAGAACTAGGTCTTTTGCATTAATATTATCGCTAATGAAATCGTTTTTTACTTCGTCTCAAATGACTTTCTTTAGGTTGGGAATTTCCATGTCTTTACTGATATTAACTAGGAAAGTTTTTCTGATAGCATCACCAAGAACGAGGCAGTATAACATTATGTCGGTATATCTGAAAGAAAAAAAGAATGTTTTTTGCTAAGAAAGAGGATGTTGCACTCGAGACGCGTTTTATATAAATATATCAGATAATTTTGAGTTACGTCATGATAATACACGTCATATGTTACCACATCAAAATATTTTTTTACTATTTGCTGTTCGATCGTCATTTTTTTTTTCATTAGGAATATTTATATAAAATTTTCGTGGTTCTGCATTTGACCAATGACGTCGTGTTAGGGATGTTAATGTCTGTGGCCAGACCGGATTAAAATTCACATTTTGATTTTGAATTTTATGATTTGAAAATTAACGCTCAATTAGAATTGAATTAATCAGTATCAGTAGAACCAAAATCAAATAAATTAATGAATATATTAGAGTTTTTCAAATGTAAAATTCTATCGATCGCAACTGAAAACTTACAGTATTGCTTAATAAATGGTATACAAATAGGGATGTTAACGGTTCGACCAGTTCGGCTTCGGTCCGATTTTTATCGGTTTGAGGGTAAAATCGAACTGGATCGGTTTGTAGACCGATTTGAAACTGGGAGTCTAGACCGAAATTTAGACCGGAGTTTATATATACAGGTTATTGTAAAAATCTTTGACGAAACTATAAAAAAATTGTGCGATACTCAACATTCC